ATTTGGGATAGAAGAGTGAGTATTGGGCATACACATTATCATCTGTAAAATCACGGAATCCTCCTCAGGCCCAATTTGTTTACCTTCTATGTGCTGTATACTATGCAGAGATACATGTTCATGCTCAGTTTGTGTGCTGCTACTTTTTCACTGCTTTCTTCTTTCAGGAGAAGTAGCAGATGTCAATTAGTTTGTTCATGGAGCTATGTACATTGTACATGTGACATCATTGTTTCGAGTGGTCATGCACCGACTAGTCTGGTGTCTTTACACATGTTGTTGGTAAAAATGGTAAAAAACACATGCTTAAATCCCACTTCACCCTAGAGAGGCAACTTCAAAGCATAATCCAAGAAATTAACACCCAACACCAGCGCAATCCCATTTGAAAGATCTAAGCAAAGTACAGTTACAAAACAAAATATGTGTAAGACAATCATTTCTAAGCATAACAACAGCAAGCTGTCACCAATCCCAAATATAAGTTTGCATTAACAATGGTGAGAGAGTTACATGTATTTTCAGAGGAAAATAAAACTGTTAAATGTGAAAGAGTAACTGTACTCAGAATATCTAAAATCGTGTCTCCTAGTTTTTAAATGCATCAATGATTCTGCCTTAGTTTTTTTTTGCTAACTATTTGAAAGGATGAAAAAAATAGGATTTCCAAATACAGTTAATATCCCCACTCCCTAGATAACTGACTTCAAACATGGTCTTTTGGCTTTCGGCACAGGCGCCTACAGCCTTCATCGATCGCTGTAACACATTTCTTCATCCAAAATTCTTCATACTCCGTCTTTGATACACCTGCTTACTTCTCCACCGTATTTTTCACAGAGCCTAACCTTATCTGATCAAGTGCGTCTTTCCCCCTGACCCCCCCTACAGTTACACTTGGACATTTCCTCCTCCGAAAATAACTCTCTGACCAGTTTAAGTGCGAAGTTTGGGATGGAAGAATGCTTGTTGTACAGACTTAGAGCTTTCTCTTATGAAATAGGAGCATCCTGGTCAGATGTATCGTGATCGCCCTGCACTGGCTCTTGTGTCTATCCAAATGTTTCCCTGTTGCCATCTAGCAAAAGCCGCACATTTGTTCAACTGTACGTAGAATGTTGAATAATACATGTACTTATAAACACTACAATGCTAATAAACATGTATCAGTCTGAAGCAAAACGTCATTTTGCATGTATTTCTTGCGCTCATGACACAAGAATGGCAAGAAGTTGGAAGCTGTGAACGTTGTGACACCAAGTTGTTCTGCAAAGCTTCGGGCCTTAACTTGTAGAGTTTTACCAGAAATTAGAAGATTCTTGCTCCTGGCCATCTGGAACCATTTGTACATCATTTCGTTTTACTTTCAGTTTTCATTTTTTTAGTTTTCTGCATCGTTCACCCATTTGNTATATAATCCTTTCACAGTTCTCGCCTGCAGTACATACTCCATCCACTTACTGTAGATTCTGGATATGATCCTTTCCACAATGGTGGCGTTCCTCTGTACATGTACATGTACCTGCAGCCTGTAAGACAATCATTTCTAAGCATAACAACAGCAAGCTGTCACCAATCCCAAATATAAGTTTGCATTAACAATGGTGAGAGCGTTATTTTCAGAGGAAAATAAAACTGTTAAATGTGAAAGTGTAACTGTACTCAGAATATCTAAAATCGTGTCTCCTAGTTTTTAAATGCATCAATGCTTCTGCTTTAGTTTTTTTTGCTAACTATTTGAAAGGATGAAGAAAATAAGATTTCCAAATACAGTAAATATCCCCACTCCCTAGATAACTGACTTCAAACATGGTCTTTTGGCTTTCGGCACAGGCGCCTACAGCCTTCATTGATCGCTGTAACACATTTCTTCATCCAAAATTCTTCATACTCCATCTTTGATACACCTGCTTACTTCTCCACCGTATTTTTCACAGAGCCTAACCTTATCTGATCAAGTGCGTCTTTCCCCCTGACCCCCCCTACAGTTACACTTGGACATTTCCTCCTCCGAAAATAACTCTCTGACCAGTGTAAGTGCGAAGTTTGGGATTGAAGAATGCTTGTTGTACAGGCTTAGAACTTTCTCTTATGAAATAGCAGCATCCTGGTCAGATGTATCGTGATCCACCCGTTGTACAAGATGAACGCCCTGCACTGGCTCTTGTGTCTATCCAAATGTTTCCCTGTTGCCATCTAGCAAAAGCCGCACATTTGTTCAACTGTATGTAGAATGTTGAATAATACATGTACTTATAAACACTACAATGCTAATAAACATGTATCAGTCTGAAGCAAAACGTCATTTTGCATGTATTTCTTGCGCTCATGACACAAGAATGGCAAGAAGTTGGAAGCTGTGAACGTTAAGACACCAAGTTCTGCAAAGCTTCGGGCCTTAACTTGTAGAGTTTTACCAGAAATTAGAAGATTCTTGCTCCTGGCCATCTGGAACCATTCGTACATCATTTCGTTTTACTTTCAGTTTTCATTTTTTTAGTTTTCTGCATCGTTCACCCATC